AGGACATCACTGGTCTGATCTGGAAAATGGATACAGAGTAACTTGTATTTGATGGGAAAGATAGAATCTTCATTATGATTATGTATCCTTTTTCAGAAAAGAGACTTATAAACTTACTATTTAAAAAAAATAAATAGATCCATGTGATGGGATAGAATTTAGATACATTTTGCTTGTGGGTTTTTTTTTTTTCCTCTGTATTTCCTTTTTGTCCCTTCTCCTTGATAGCCCCATCACTTCAATATCATTCAGTGTCTCAGAGGTCATTCATTGACTGGAGGACACAAAAGAAGGGAAAAAAAGAGAGAAAAAAACTCTTGGCTTTGAATTTCAAAATAGGCTGTGGATGCCCCTAACAGAGGAAAATTTTGAAAGCTAGGGCTATTGATTTGCCAGACTGCACATTTTGGAACTCACTGAAGCAAGCTGGGCTTAAAATTTATGCAATTGATAATAGATGATAACGACAGTAGATGAAAAGCTGACTATACTTTAAAGAACCCAAATTTCCCTTGTATCCCTAAAAGGGCTACAAAATAGGGCAGGTGGAGCCTTTCAATTAGGACTAGGAAAACACAAAGTGATCTTCATGGACGTAACTCATGGCCAGAGCAGACTCTGACATACCAGCAGATGCAAGCAGAAACCTACAATTAAAGATACAATGGACGAGTTACACCTCAGCAGATGCCAGAGGATGCACTCTGGCCATATGCCCCTTTCCTCCATTGCCTAAGCACAGAATAACACCATCTGAAACTATGTCACACTGAGGAGAAAGGACAGAGTGAATTAAATGAAAAATCATTTCAAAAGCCTGGATCTACCTAGAAGTGACTCCATAGGTTCCAACATAGGGCCCCTTAGTAACAACAGGACTTGGAATAGAAATAAATTAGTGATAAAAGAAATAATGGTACATTTGCCGCACAGGGCTTGAGAGATATCAAATTCACTACAGCAATGCTTTTAATTCTGTTAAAAAGAAATATGTGGGTTTGCATAAAAACACTTTTGAAAAACCAGTGGATTTTTTATTCATACTTTATGTGTTTCTATATGTGAACTAAAATATTTTACAATAAGCACATATTGCTTTTGAGACTGGACACAATTTTAATGCCAATTCAACTTTTGAAAAATAAAAAAGGTCTGTGTAGGTTCAATGTTATCACTATTTCATTCCCTCAATATTGTCTATTCAAACCTGTATCTTTGTAGTATAGGGTTTTGTGAGGTTGATTGATAGAGTTTGTTTGTTTTTACCTGCAGGGAGATTTCACTATTTTTATGAAAATAAAACATTAAAAGAATACAAAAAAGATCTAAGCAGGAAATTCAAAATACCCGTATTTCCACCACCTAGAGAAAAATACAATAACCCTGGTGTAAATATCTCTCACAATATCAGGTTTAGAGCAGAGATTTGGGAAAACAATCATCTTTTATTTTAGTATTAGAGATTATCGTCTTAGAGAAATTTCAAATGTTTCAGAAAAACACATTATGTTTAAATCTGTAGAAAACCCCTTCTTATAAGTAAACATAATTTTTTGGCATCAGTAACAAAATGATTGCTTGATGTTTTAATAAGTGGATCAATATTTTGCAAACTGGAAATGGATCAATTATTTGCAAAATGTTCAAAGATAGCAATCAACTAAGTATTGTTTATGGTTATAGAAGGACCCTTAATTATCTTCTATGACCTGAAGTATTCCCTATTTCCTCTGTAATATTTACTGAATTTTTCTGAGTCTTATATTTTTCAAATTATTTTATTATGGAATACCTCAGAATAGCATAACAAATCTTCATAAGCCATCACTTTGCCTAAGTAATTATCAATTCAGGACCAATCTTGTTCTATCTACATCACTACTACAATCTGAATATTTCTCCCCCAAAAACTATAGGCTGAAATTCAAACCCCACAGTGATGCTATCAGTAGGTGAATCCTTTGGTAGATGATGAATGGAATGAGTGCCCTTACATAAGAGGCCCAGAAAGCTGCTTTGTCCTTTCCACCATTTAAGACATAGCAAGAAGTCACCCATTATTAACTACACAGAAAACAGGCCCTCACCAGACAGAATCTGCTGGGGTGTTGATCTCGAGCTTTTCAGTCTGTAGGACCATGAGAATATCAGTCTATGGCATTGTTATAGAAGTCCAGGTAGACTAAAACAATCCATAACTCTTATATAACCATTAAGAATACTGGTAAAATTTTCAAAATAAACATTTTCAGAATTCTAGAAACTAACCAACAATAATCTCAGAAAGCTTTTATTAAGAAAAATGACTTAATCTCAGTTAGAAAAATAATCTTGCAGAATTTTAATTTTCCCTTGTCACACACCCCTCTGCTCAGCTATGCAGTAACCTTGAAAACCGGAAGGTTCCGTACCACAGTGCTGTGAAAATCCTACAATGTAGCTGACACTTGAGGGGTAAGAAACATTTTGAAGTTCTCAAAAAAAGCCCCACCATTCCCAGAGAATTTTTACTACTTAATATGTCCAGTAGCTCCCTAGATAAACACATTTCCAGCATTTATCTTTATTTGACCTGAGAGCCCCAGCTAATTCATGAGGAAATATGGACAGAGGTATGTACAAAGGGAGACAATATGAAGACATAGGGAGAAAATGATCATCAACAAGCCAAGAAGATAGGCTGGGAAAATATCTTTCCTTCATGGTCTTCAAAAGGACCAACACTGTTGATACCTTGATCTCAAGTGTAAAGCATCCAGAACTGTGAGAAAATGTCTACTGTATAAGCTACCTAGTCTGTGACACTTTCTTAAGATAGCTCTAACAAACTAATATAAACTGAAATGAAAAACTCACAAGTGGAGGTCAAGAATATATTTGAACTGGCTGAAGAAAAACTCAGCAAACTTGAAAATAGATCAATTGAGATGATCTAGTCTAGGGTACAAAAAAAGGGAAGGTATACACACAGCACTGAAGAAAAGGATTGTCAGACGATACTTCTATATCCATCAAATGATTCTTTTAGAATAGAGGAAAAAATTAAGAAATCCCAAGGGGTAAAAAACTAACAAAGCATTGCTAGCTGTTTTGTCAAAAAATACTAAAAAGAGTCCTTCAGGCTAAAATCAAGGAAGACTAGGCAATAATTCAAATCCACAAAAGGAATAAAGATTACAATAATGGTACTACTTATTAAATATAAAATACATCGTTAGTGCAGTTTTGTTTGTAATTCTGTTTCTCTCACATATGTTTCAACTGACAACTGCATAAACAAAACTTCTGCTGATGGGCTTGTTATGTATAAAACAGTAATTTGTACGGCAATAATTGCACAGAGGAGAGAATAGAGCTACACCAAAATAGAGTTTTGTTTGAAATTATGTTATTAGTCAAATTTTAAAATTTTTAATTGAAATGTTGATTATATTGCCCAATGCATATGATAACAAAATATCTCAAAATATAGTGAAAGAAGCAAAAGGAAGTAAAATAGCACACTGAGAAATATAAATTTAGCACAAAATGTGATCATGTAAGAAGAGGAAAACAAAAGATAATAGACATACAATCAATAGCAAGATGACAAATGTAAATGCTACCTTACCATTAATTATATTAAATATAAGGGGATTAAATACTCCAATTAAAAGGCAGAGATTATCAAAATGAATGAGAAAGAAATGAAAAAACATGATCCAAGTAAATGCTGTATACAACATACACATTTTAATATCAAAAGCACATATAAGTCTGAAGAAAAATGAAAAGTATATATCATAAGAGAGTAACCAAAAAAGTTAGTAAAAGTGGTTATACTAATATCCAACAAAATAGGTTAGAATGAAATATTTTCTAGAGACAAATAGCTATAAAACAACATTGTTTTGTAAAATTTTATGGATAATTTGTATGTGTGTGTGTGTGTGTGTGTGTGAGAGAGAGAGAGAGAGAGAGAGAGAGAGAGAGAGAGAGAGAGATACCAGGGGTTAAACCCAGGGACGCTTGACTACTGAGCCACATCCTTAGCCCTTTTTTTATATTTCATTTAGAGATAGAGTCTCTGAGTTGCTTAGCACCTCACTAAATTGTTGAGGTTGGCTTTGAACTCAGGATCCTTCTCAGCCTCTGGAGCCATTGTGATTACAAGCATACACTACTTCCCCCAGCAAAAATCCATATTTTATAATGATAAAAAGAACAACCCAGCAGGAAAATATGACAATCATAAAACTGTATGTACCTAACAATGGAACTCTGAAATGTATGAAAAAAACACTGACAGAATTGAAAGGAGCCATAGGCAATTCAAAAATAATCACTGGGGGGCTGAGGTTGTGACTCAGCGGTAGAGCATCCGTCTAGCACATGTGAGGCCCTGGGTTCAATCCTCAGCACCACATAAAATATATAAATAAAATAAAGGTATTGTGTTTAACTACAACTAAAAAAAGATATATTTAAAATAAAAAAATCATCATCATCATCATTAGAAATTCAAATATCCCCTCATGAATACAACAAGTAGGCAGAGATCAACTAGGAAACTGAAGATTTGACCAGTTATCCCAAACACACTTGTAAAAAAACACTTCAGAATAAAACACCAGAATACACATTCTTCTCAAGTACACATTCTCCAGTATACACCATATGTAGAACATAAAACAAGCCTCAAAAACACTTACAAGGATTGAAATTCTACAAAATACGTTGTCTAGTACAATGAAATAAAATCAGAAATTTTAAAAAATCAGAAATCAATAAGAGAAAGGATTATTAAAATTTATAAATGTGTGGCAATTAAATATCAAACAGTTAATCAGTGGGCCAAAGAGGAAATCACAAGGAAAAATAGAAAATACTATGACTTTAGACTAGGCAAGAGTTTTTTTTAGACATGACACTAAAAGGATGTGTCAAAAGAAAACTAGATTAATTGAACATCAAAATTTTTAATTTTATATTTCAAAGGACATCATAAAGAAAGAGAAAATGTGTTCATTCTGGAAGTATATATACAAAGATTGAAATCATACAGAGAAGATTAGCGTGGTTTGCATAAGGATGACATGCAAATTTATGAAGTGTTCCATATGAAAAAAAAAAGAGAGAAGTCTGCACAAAGGATGGTACTAAAACAAAATATACTCAAATTATATGTGTGTGTGTATGATATAAGGATCTGTATCCAAAAATTAATTATAACAACTATTTCCAGTCAACAAACATACCAAAAAAAAAAACAAGACAACCCAATTAAAAATGGGCAAAGGACTTAAGTGGACATTTTCCCAATGCTCTACAAGTTGCCAATAGGCACATGAAAAGATCCTCACCATCATTAGTCATTAGAGAAATAAAATCAAAACAATAATGTGATTGCCACTTCACACCCACTAACACAGCTAAAATAAGAAAGCCAGAGTATAACAATGAATAGAGGAAAAAACAATGAAGACAAGGAGAAACTGGAAACTTCATTCACTGCTGGTGAGATTGTGAAATGGAGCAGCTGCTGTGAAAAAGTTCAGTAGTTTCACAAAATATTAAACATAGAGTTATTATATGATCTAGCAATTCTACTCCTAGGTATACAGTCAATACAAATGAAAACATTTGTCCACACAAAATCTCATACATGGATATTCATATACAAATTATTCATAATAACCCTAAATGTCCAACAATCAATGAATACATAAATAAAAAGTAGTATACACACAGTGGAATACTATTTGACCATTAAAAAGCAATGAAGTACTGGTACATACTACACCATGGATAAGCCTTAAGAGAATATTAAATGAGAGATGTCAGTAGGAAAAGACCACATATTATATGATTCCATTGATATTAAATGTCCAAAATGCAAATACATAGAAATTGAAAGTAAATTGTTAAAAAAAGAAAGAAAGAAAGTAAATTGGCATTGGCAGGGGATGAAGATGTGGAAGAGGAAGAAGGAAAATAACTGTTAATGGCATACGATTCCTTTTTACATGACGAAAAATGTTCTAAAATTTAGGTTATGATAATCGTTGTACAATTCTGTGAATATGCTAAAAAATAATTGAATTGTACAATTTAAAAGCATGCATTTTATGGTATGCAAATTATATCTCATAAAGATGCTATTTTAAAAAATGCAGCATCAATATTGTATAGTTAATGCTTCAAAACTGGGAACAACCCAAATGACCACCAAAAAAGTAGAATAGATAAAGGCAACAACATGAGTGTTTCAATATATATAAGCAGAAGAAGCCCATTATAAGAATACATAGTGTGGTGTAAGGAGTCATAAGAGTGAGTGCAGCAGAGCATGAGAGGGGCTTCCAGGGAACTGGTTTTATTTATTTCTTTATCTGGGTACTGGGTGCTGATTACATGAACGTGTTTGCTTTGTAAAAAACAAACTCTTCAAGCTGCGCCCTTCTGTTATGATTCATGCACTTTCCTATGCATATTGTATTTTCAACAAGTTTCTCTTTAAAAAGTAGTATTTCTCTTCTGTACTATTTTCTAAAGTAATCAACCAGAAAATATAACAAAAAGGAATTAGATACCATTATAATTATTTAATTATGTGTGATCATTTGCTTATTCTCTAGCTCAGTGGTTCTCAACTGGGGACAATTTTGCTATTCTGAGGACATTTGGCAACATCTGGAGGTATTTCTGATTGTTGAAACTGGGAATGTGCTGCTGGCATCTAGTGGGTAGAGGCCAGAAATTCTGCTAAATATTCTACAATGCCCAGGGCATCCCCACAACAAAAAATTATCTAATCTAAAATGCCAATAGTATCAAAAGCATGCTCTAGCTCATCCAATAGCTATAAATTCTAGATGTAAAAACATGATCCATCAGGAGCCTGATTATCTGGTTTATAGTTTTATATCTAGAACCCATCAGAGTACCTGGCACGTAATAGGCTCTTGATAAAAAATTTGTTGAACTAACAAATGAATCTGTTTCTTTTACTCTGTCTGTATCTCTGGATAGATATACATATACAGGAATATATATATATATATATATATATATATATATATATATATATATATATATATATATATAAAGAGAGAGAGAGAGAGAGAAATATCACACACACACACACACATCCATCTTATGTCTTGTACCTTATAGTTTTCTTGTTCTGTTGGGCATAAATATACTGCATACTTTGAAAGAACTTGCCTTAGGAAAACGAGATTCCAGGGATCACCCAGGAGAAAGAAGGCATGAAGCAGATCACTCTGACCTAACGTGAAGCCTAAGAAAAAAATAAATAAATAGAAATTTGGGGCTATAGCCTGACATAAAATTTAAATATGTTTTTTCCCAGAGAGTTTTCTATGCTTTTAATCATATGCTTCAGGAATTTAGAATAATTGATTACAGTTTCAGTAGATGGGTGGCTGCCTGAAGAATCCAGGATCATTGCCATTTCTCCCCAACTGATATTCTGCACCTCACATTTTGAGACAAATTTTTTGGTATTAATCTTTAAATATTTTGTGAGATCCTGAATAGCATTCAGAAGACACAGACAGTCAGCAAAGCAGCTTAATAAATGTCTCCTGAATTATTTGTATGAGTTTGGACAAGTCAGTTAATATTGCAGACTTGAGTTTTCTCATCTGCAAATTATATGAATTAGACTAAACAATCTCAAGGCCCTTTCACCTAAAATTTGATGATTCAATGATTGAAAAAGGCAGAAATTGTGAGCTCTAATGAGGTGATATTTTGAGTGTTGCCAAATCACAGGGTTTTTCTAGATCGTCTCCCTATTAGAGCAGAATGCAACAGCTTCACTTGATACCACCAACAGGTGTGTAATTAAGCCTGATCTTTCTCCAGCATAGTTCATTTTCCACTGATGGGTCTACAATTAAAACAACTCCCTCCCCAGAGAAGGATACATCAGTGTTATACTTTTCATCTTTAATTACACTGGTTGAAGATGAGTAAATGCGCTAGAGATCCCAATTGGGAGGGAGTAGATTCATTAGGTGGTTGGTAATATGCCATCTAGTCTGCATTTCAGGTTACTGTCTGCACGATGAAGATGGCCTTCAACCAATCAGCTCAAATATCCCAGTGATTAAGTCCTTCCACTGCTGCCTACCTGTGCACTGCAGAAGTAATTGAGGAATATTAAAGATCTGGACCCCTCTAAAAGATAAGTACAGTGTCAAAGCCAAAGCTAATTTACTGCTTCAGTGATTTTTAGTAGAAGGGCCAAGATAGTTTATTAATGCTTTATACAAGAAGAGGGAGAGTTTCCAAATTTTCATATTACCACCACCTTCTCAGTAGACCTGTATTACAGCTTGTTCTCTCTCTCTCTCTCTCTCTCTCTCTCTCTCTCTCTCTCTCTCACACACACACACACACACACACACACACACACACGCTCTTTCTTGTTCTGCCCTAATACAATCTCATGTCATCTATTTTTCATTTACTTGCTCATTGTCTAGCTCCCTTGATTGAAATTTCAGCTCAGCATTTGGGGGGAAGGGCATCAGTTTCACCAAAACATATTACCACTTGGAGCACGGTGACTGAGCCTTGGCACCTACTAAACACTTGCTAAATGAATAAATAAATATTGATTCAGAATGTTTCTTTTAAATACACTTGTTTGATAGAGACTTGGGGGTTTGAGGTAACTGATGATGTTGAGGTCAGTTTAACAGAATTAGCCTTTCCCTGGCATTATAATTCTCTTAAATACTTGGTAGGACTTTAGTCTTTTGACTCCCAGTCAATTCAAAGATTCCATTCCCATAGATCTAATTAAGTCACAATTTTTAGATCTAGAACCCAGCTTGGGAATGTTGTCCTTTAGCAACACATCTAGGTGCTCAGCCCAATCTCTCTGGGCTCATTCTAATAATATCAATCTTCTAGGAGCAGTAAGTCACCCAGACACTTATGACCCTGTGCCCTAAGCTGCCTCCCATCTATTGTGGAGAAATTGGCAACAGAAGTTGCCTGAAAAGGCTTGTAGAAACAGGCTTTCCCCAGACCAATATCTTACCTATTATATTTCCACCTCCCTGCCTGAATTCAGTGCTGTAGTCAGCTTTGTGTTGCTGTGACCATTAAACCTGACAGAACAATTTGAAGAAGGAGAAGTTTATTTTGGCTCACAGTTTCAGAGGTTTATCCCTGAGTGGCTGACTCCATAGTTCCGGGCCTGAGGTGAGGCAGAACATCATGGCAGAGGAAAGCAGCTCAGGCCAGGAGGGGGGAGTTCCACTCATGAGGGACAAAATATAAAACCCCAAGACACACCCTTTGTAATCTCCTTCTTCTGGTCACACCCTACCTGCCTACATTTACCACCCAATTAATCCATACCTAATTAGGTTACACCTCTCATAATCATTTCACCTCTGAAATTTTTGCATTGTATCACACACGAGCTTTGGGGGGATACCATAAATCAAAACCATAACATATACCTTCTTCACTGTGTAAATATCCCTAACTTGAAGCAGAGAATTTAGATTTTCATAACCTGTAAAACCAGGCTCAAACCATCTTGCATTCTGGGCTGCCCAGCTTAAAAGGAATCTCCTAGAAAAGACACATTTTCTTTTCTCTCTGCCTTCAGATAGGTCAGGTTCTACCTAAGTTTCTTTCTTTTGGTAAAACTTTACTAAGTCTTCCAAGTATCATCTATAAAATCCAGCATCTTTCCACTTTGCTACCAAGCCCCATAATTTATGCCGCAGCCTCAGTAAACACATGACCTGAGCACCAAGATACCAAACATGGCACTTTAACCATCTGCTTCACTACTGAATAGCACAGCATTCCATTTCCACAGCCTAAGTTAACATTTAAAATTATAATTTTTTTAAATGCAATGGAAGGGTCTTCACTCTTCTCCACCCAACTCTACATCAACCAGTTACTTCTATGTTATAAGATCATTCATTTGTAATCCCAAATTCTATAACTCATTTTTGTATCAGTTAAAGATTGTTCTGCACATGAGAGAAGATATGACAAAAGAAAATAAGCAACAAAAAATATTTTATTAGCTCATATAACCAAAAATGAAGACTTGGCTAGCTTT